GCCGGGGGAGCCGCTGTTGCGGCCGAGGGGCTGCTCATTGTGGAGGCGGTGTCGTGGTATCGCGATTACCGGCAGGTGCTGAAGAGGCAGCTCAGTGGCTCTTTCTACAAACCCTCAAATGCCCAGCAGCGAATGTCGTTCCTCAGGCCTGCTGTGGGTTTGGGGGATGTGGTGTAATCAGCTTCCCACCGTCCTCCGTGCCATTTCCCACTCGCACGTGCACTCTGTAAAACAACCCCTGCATCCTCTGATAGTTCGGAGAGCTTTTAACAAGCTAGTGATATTTGCGCCTTGTAAAGACACTTCTCTATGGGGGGAAAAAAAAGTAAACAGATGTCTAATGTAAATAAATATGTAATAAAATCAACTGCTATAACTAGGAATTGATTAAAATAAATTGGGGTAAATTGTATTTAGAATTTAGCTTCCTCTAATATGCTGGGAAAACCAAACACATGTGTTTTCCATTTATGGTCTTGTTTTTCCAAGAATAGATTCTCATATTCAATTGAGTGTGCTGCTACGTGCTACAAAATAGGGTAGAGAGACCTGGGTTTCTGATGTGATAGCTCTTTGTGTTGGGAGTTGTTACTCGGGTCTGAATTGAGAGAGTGTTTGTCCTGATGGAATTTACACTTAGTTACCGAACTGGTGTGAATTTGCCTCTCATTGCAAGAGTGAAAAAAAGGGGAGGTTTTTCTGTAAGATTCTGCAGAAATGTGTTTGGTAAGTGTGATATCTCCTCTTCACCCCCAAAGCTTTTTTTGCTTTAGGGTAAACTATCCCAACTTGGTTGGCCTGTCCTTGTATGACAAAGGCAGCAATTGCTTAAGCATCCCATTAACTATGTTTAATACTATCTTTTATTAGGAATTTTTGCAGAGGTACACTTGATATGAGTTTGCTTTACCGAGTAGTGCTAAACTTAGCAATAGATACTTATTTATAAATTAAAAATACTACAGTTGCACCATATTTATTACGTAGGTGTACCTTACTGTGCCTATTTTTTCTATATGTTGATCCCTGCAGCAGAAAACTACGGAGAATTTTGTGCTACCAAGCCTGTGGATTAGGGTTCCCTTTCAGCAACGTACTTCCCCAGGCAAGGTGATTCATGGCAGATTAACAAATGTGCTGAGTGGAAATCTAGTATCAGATACAAATATAGCAAATTCTGCAGTGTGGGAAAAAACATATGCTTGCTGTTTATAACTGTTACAACTGTTGAAATAAATACACACAAAAGGTACTTTGATTTCACATTTCCAAACTCAGCAGATAACGTTTTCAGTCTATTATTTATTCAGAAGTTTGTAAGGGGGGGAGGGAGGAGAATGACAAAAAATACACTCACCTGTCAGGGTTCTGTAGATACCAAAAAGAAGAAAAAAGAACATGAATCTGGATTAAAAAAAAAAAAAAGAGGAAGAAGAAAAAGCGCTTGCTGTTCTCCAGTAATACAACTAATAACAATGGGTTTAAAATGCTGATTTATGGCACAGTTAACACAGGACAAGAGAACCAACAACCCATCAGAATTTGCTCTCAGCTTTTATTAGCTTTCTTTTGTGCTGGCTTGGGTAGTATCCTGTAGTTTTTACTCTCTATTATGGCATCTCATCAGTTTATTATTAAAGGAAATGACTCAGCTGCACCACCATTTGCAAGATTTGATTTCCCAGGCAATTATACAGTTTATTGCATTGCTAAAATTAATTTTATTTGCCTTGATAATAATACATTTTGGGCCTAGGATGTGAACCACCATTTTCAAAACAAAGGAATTTATGTCTAGGATCAGGTATCCTAAAGAACAGCTGTAACAAATAAAGTCTGATTTTGTTACGAAACTAAGTAGTTCCTTCTGTTAGAACTTTTGGATGCTTTATTTATGTGAAAATGGCCCAAAATGCCTGAGTTTTAAGAAAATTCAATCATGACTTAATTTATTGCTCATTAACAACAGAGATTTATTTTTAGACTGAAATTCAGATTCTTTACCACAGTTACACATTTGGAAGAGATGAGGAGAAACGATCTGACGGTGACAGTGTCAGTGTGTGGTTTGTGACGTGGGTGTTGGTGTGCAGGTGTTGGAGACAGCAGCTCCGGCTGGACGGAGCCCAGCAGAGTAAACAGGATTCCCACCAATTTTGGTGCAGGTCCCTCCGGTACCTGAGTTAATCTCAGGGTTTGCCGTTGCGTGGAGGGGGTTTAGCTTCCTGCCGCTTGTCCTTCACCTCCAGGATGTGATTTTTTCCTCCCTTCGGCGAGCCCTGGCCTTCACCAGATGCCTCCATGAGGAGATGAAATTTGCTAATTTAAGAGAAAACTCTCCAGTTGGGGGTTAGTTTTCTGGCTGTTTATTGTGTTTGACACTTTCTAGGCTGATTCAGCAGACCCGGTGGGAGTGAGTGGCTGAGGACAGGGCCTGTCCCTGAGGGTCCAGGAGGCGGCTGTTGCTTCAGCCCCTTGGCATCCTCTTCCATGACTTCTGGTCGGCAGGAGAGAAGGGGGCTCTTTTTTCCCCCCAGCTTCCCAGGGATACCAGGCTATGTCCCAGCTTGCCCCAGTGTGTGCTGTAAAGAAAATGGAAACCTGAAGCGGTGAAATAGCAGCAGGCTATGCCTGCAAGCAGGTCTGCAGCCTTTATTGTTGAAAAAGGAATATATAAAATACGCTTCAAACATCTTCACATTCGAGTGTCTGTTGAGTCTGTAGACACAAGCTCTCGGATACACAAGCATCTAGAAAGGCACGGACACAATTGCAGTTTGGTGCCCCTAGGACGTGGAGCTTGGCAAAGCCTCCAGAGCCGGGTAAAGCAGAGCAGTGCAGGCCAAGGAGCCAGTCACTGGCCAAAGCAGCAGCCACTGCGAGTAAATTGTGGCTGAAAGGAGAGATGAGAAATAATAATAATAATAATAAAAGAGCAGTTGATGTTAGTGACTTAAAACTTGGCGGTGTTTGCTAATGAGGACTGCACACTCCTTAAATTTCTCATGGTTTACGTACCCACGAAAGCTTGTTTGCTGCAGAGCTGATGGTCTTTGTCATGGCTGTGGGAAGTTCAGCTCTCTTTCTATCCAGATTTGTTGGCAACAGCATGAACAAGTTCTGAACATCTTTACAATCAACCCAGTAAGGGTAAACTCAAACTTGATGGAGCTTCTACTGCAGACAGGCTTTAGCTGGTGGGTCAACATTGGAAGAACAGTGTTGCATTTTCTTTGCGAATGTGGTTACTGGTATTTCCTTTATTGGTATTTTTCCTCCTGTATTTTGTACTAAAATGGGTGTAAATTTAGAAAACTGATTCCATGTCTGCAATGCTGCTCAAAAATGTCATTGAAGCTCGTTGAAGATGAATAAGAGGTTCTGCCTCACTGTCCTGGCTTGCATTCAGACGATTTGGGGTCCCAAATTGCACCACAGAGGAACCAACCGTTGGGCTTTTCTGGCCCAATTCAGCCTGTGCTGTTCAACCTGTGATGACACTGCAGCCAAATAGCTCAGGCCTCAAGTGGGGTCAGTCCACAGACAAGGGAAAGGTGGGGAGAAAAGAAGTTTGCTGCCCCAGTGCAAGCTGCCCAGGGCAGCACACTAACAAGAGCACCTGGATTTAACTGCCTTCTGTACCTGTGTGTAGATCATATATACAGGTTCTGCTTATTCCTTGAAGTCAACATAGAGACCACAAGTTGGAACTTGTGCTGCATGGGCCTTCAAGGAGTGTCAAAGCCTGACTCTTCCTTTGGACAGGAATGGACTAGATGGTCTCTAGAGGTCCCTTCCAACCTCAACCATTCTGTGAGTCTGTGATAAAAAAGGCTTTGAAGCTTCTTGAATATTATACATCATTGCAAGGTTGTTATTTAACAGTTAGGTCAGGATAGCACCGATCAGTGCCGGGGCTTGTGTGGAGGGCAGAGCTGGACAAACAAGCAGCCTCACACTACCACCATAAGACGCTTTGGTGGTTGTGGTGTTGCCAAACGCTGTAATTCTGCTGCTCAGGTCCAGATCAGGCGTTTCCTCAGGATGCATTTTTTCCAGTTGCAGAGAATAACGTTTCTGAGAATACTACTAGGCAGACTAGGGTTCTTGCTTAGTGCAGCTCTGCTGTGCTGTGTTCATGGCACCTGCCTAGAGCCGTTTGCCTGCAAACCTGCAGCATCTGCACCTTGGAGCAAGAAACACAGGGAGGCAGGGATGCTGCTCAGATGCTTACTCACCTGCCAGAATGTTCTCCTTCAGAAGCAAATATACCTGAGTGAGCTATAAGCATTATAAAAACATGCATTTTATCCATAGTTGGTGGAGATGTGCCAGTATTGGGCAGCAGGATCCTCTCATGTAGGTGACAACAAGGGAGCGAGGATGTGATCATAAGGTGGCATAAGGAGAGAGCTGGAGAGCAGCTTCGTGGCATTTCAGACCAGCCTAAAGAAAAAACATCTGCAATTTCGCATGTGCCCCATATAAGAGAGATCCTGCTGGTAAAAAATGGTAGCGATTATTTGAATACCATTCAAAAGAGAGCAGCACATACTGGGACTTGCACTTTTCAGGGGAGGAAGACAGCCTGGGGTTTGAGGCAAAGAAAAAGTAAGTCCCACTGTGTCATGTACAATTGTTTTCTTCTCTACATAAATATATATTACGAGGTAATGGGTTTTTCCTGGTGGGGTAGTAGGCTCAGAGTTACAAAA